TGAAAAACATTTTTTTCTGATAAATTTGGTTAAAAACAGGGGTGCGTATTATACATGGCTAAATACGGTAAGTCTCGTGGGTAGTGGGGGGCTAGGTAATTACAAAACCGGAGGCACTAAAACATGTTGACACCCAACAAACAAATTACAAAAACACTGCTTTCAACTTCTTTATTACATTAATGCTTTTACAGTTATTTATCCCTGTAATCTTCTAAAAGGACACTAGTTTCACCTTAACCACAACAACATCTCAAATAAAACTACAACTACAGCAACTTCAAGAGTCGAGTTCCATATCTGACGAAAAATCTGCCGACTTGCCTCTGCTCCTTGATTCACACATCATAACGGTCCGTTTCTGGAAAACAAATATCCTCAATGAAAGTGGATCATTTCAAAGTTTCTTTAAAAATCGAACATTCAAACAAGTTGTATCACCTACACTGCTGGAGTCTGAAAAAAAAGAAACAGTACAAACCAGATTTCATTAGATAATTCCTAACAATTTTTCTATCCTTTACACAGTCGAAAACCAAACATGAAAATTGCTTACGACCGTACGTCATGGAGGATATTGAATTATCTCTAACACTATAGCAGGATTGCTTACAAAACTTTTCTATCAAATGATAGTCTTTCTACAGAGATGCTACAGGAACCAGACAGCTTCACTGATTTACTTACCAATAGTATTTAAAAGCACCAAAACGATCATTGCCACGATATCCACCACCATTGCCTCCAGTGGCAACGCCCCCATTGCCACACTCGGCATTACCGCCATTACCTCCAGAGGCGGTAGCACTGCCTCCATTACCTCCAGCTCCGCTATTACCTCCTGTGGCCTGACCTCCATTTCCCCCATTGCCTCCTCCGTTACCTCCATTACCACCAGAGGCAGTGGCGCTACCTCCATTGCCTCCAGCTCCACCATTACCTCCTGTAGCCTGACCTCCATTTCCTCCATTGCCTCCTCCATTACCGCCATTACCACCAGATGCAGTGGCACTGCCTCCATTCC